TGATGTATTGAGTAATAGGAACTGAGGTAGATAGGCGGTTAGTGTGAGGTTTTATTTAATCTGGCTAGGAGTTGGGCTATGTTTAGTGTTTGGTGTGGCTGTCTGTGCCAGAGGCTTCAAATCCCCCCAGTGTCATTTTGTCTTCTCTCTTGACTTTAGGTTTCCCTAAATACTCCTCCTCAGGGAGTTTGTGTCCTGGAGGTCTTTGAGCTGTAATCCACTGTTACACTGGAGCCTGTGGGTGTGGCAGTGGTGTGTAGGTGAACAGGAATGTTCTGTAACCATCCAAGTAAGGGCAAAAATGGAGGAACTTCCCTTTAGTAAATGCAGTAATACTTTCCCTATAAAAGAGGGGAAGATAGAGAACATGGTGGCTTAGATGAGGGTGTCTGAAGATGAGGAACTTGCCTTCTGCTGGCTTCTGTTTCTTTAGTGAATTTTGTTTTCTAAGCGACAGGGTCTTGCTCTGTCACCCAGGCTGGAGTGCAGTGGCATCATCATAGCTCACTGCAACCTCAAACTCCTGGGGTCAAGTAATCCTCCCACCTCTACCTCCTGAGCAGCTGGAACTACTGGTATGTGCCACTGTGCCAGGCTGATTTTTTTTTTTTTTTTAACTTTTTGTAGAGACAGGGTCTCACTATGTTGTTACTCAGGCTGGTCTTGAACTTCTGGCCTCAAGCAATCTTCCCACCTCAGCCTCCCAAAGTGCTGGGATTACAGGCATGAGCCACCACCCCTCACCCTCTTCAGTGAAGTGAGCCCATCAACGGAGACTTTGTGTTAAGTCTGAGCAAGAAAAAGATAGGAGATAGCCAATTCAAAAAGGGAGAAAGCAAGCTTGGTAGGAAAACATTTTAGGTTTGGCAGGCAGTGTTGACTACTCATTTAAAGTTTGTGGTCATGAATTTAAAATGCAGGTGGTCAGCCTGTTTGTGTGATTTTACCCCCACCCCAAAGCATTCATCCATTTGGATGTGAGCTTGGAGTTGGTGGCTGTGTGGGTTCCATCAGTGATGGAGTTTTGCGAGGGTAGTGTGACACCGCGAGGGGGAGGTGTGGCAGTAGAGTGTATTTGCAGGGAGTGATTGGGGGTGACGGTAACGAGGGAGCCCGTGAGAGCAGACAGTGAAGGCAGAGTGAGGAGTGGTGATGGACAGTGAAAACGTTGTGGGTTCAGTGGAGCGACTGTCTACATAAGTTTGAAGGAAGTTTGTAGAGAGCGTGGAGTAAGGGGGCTGGGAGGAGGAAAGGCGCACAGAGTGGGCGATGCTTGTACCGGGCGCCGAGGGGATGCAGACACTGGTGATGACGAGGTTCAGGATGTGGCCATCCTGTGTAAGACGAGACGCGAGGTGGCGGCTGAGGAGGAAGAAGGTTCAGGTGGGGAAACGAGGAACTGAGAAGCTGGCTTTTCAGGTAGGTCTTTGGTGTTAAAGTCACTGAGATGGATGGAGAAGAAAACCTCTGAAAGCTGGAGGCCGGCGTCTTCAGGAAATGAAAAGGCACAAGCAGGCAGGAGGTGGAAAACAGCAGTGAGGACGGGTAGACAGTGGCATAGCCAGATGGCCTGAGTGTCCCAGTAGGGATTTGTGTCAGAAGGAGGGAGGGAAATTGTTCGGAGCAGCAGCGGAGAGCCGGAGAGCCGGGAGGATGCCTCTCCTACTTCCTGTTCTTGAGATATATGGGGTGAGGACAGCTGGGCTGCAGGGGAGGGGATGTACTCAGGGGAAGGCAAGTTTCCATGAAGGTCACAGAAGGTCACAGTTCAGAGAGGAGGTGGAAGGACACAGTGGGCATACTGTTTACAGAAGAAAAGATCAAAGGGTAGGACGGGTCTGTGGGGAGTTGGCAGGGCTGCGGCTGTCCATAGCAGGGCGGACGGAGTTCAGAGCCCGGGGGAGAGAGGATGCCTGGGTGGCATCTGGCTGCTCCTGCACTTCCAGCAGCGATTGGAGCAATAGGACTCCCAGGCCCAGCACATCCCATTATGTGGCCGACTTTCCACCTCTCCCTCCCAGATCAATTTTTAGGACCTTTGCTTAACAGAGGGAGTGTAAAATACTTTTCTTTATAAGCAGCTTTGGTAGACTTATTTGTTTAGGCTGTCAGGCAGCTGTAGCAATTTAGGATTGCGTTTGTTTATATTAAGGTAGGATTGATAGGGAGAAGTCACTTTCACTGATAAACTAGGAAGTGAATGAAAGAAACACGGATTCGTTGAGGACCTACTGTGTACCAGGCTTTGCACTAAATATTTTACATATTGGGTTTCACTAGAGACCTGCTGGATTTCACTGATGTGTTGGAAAGACCGTGGGCATTGGAGTTAGTCTCGGGTTTTGAGTTTTAGTTCCTTGGCGGACAAGCTGTGTTATTTTGGGCAAGTTACCTAAGTTCTCCAGCCTTCATTTTCTCATGTATTAATAGATTGGGAATAACATCCACCTGCTGTGGTGGCTGTGCAGAGCGGCCCAGGTGGTTGTACTGAGCAGACCAGGCCAAGAGCCATTGCAGCAGGGTGATTAGTATTTGTCCATTTTAGTGATGAGGAAACCAAGGCCCAGAGAGGCTCAGTATATTGCTCGTGGCCTTATAGCACTGAAATGGCATAGCCAGGATTGAAGTCCAGTTCTCTGACCCCAGGACCTTTGTTTTATCCATTATGTTGAGTTTCTGCCTTAATACAAGGGAAGCTAACGGAGCCCCGCATCAGCCTGTCTGCTCAGACATTAGGCAATGTGGGATGGGATGAAGGGAGCAGGTGAAGGGAAGACAGGCTCTATGGAATCTAGGTCAGTGGTTTCCAAACCTGGCTACACTTCCAAATCACCTGGGGAATGGTTAAGCTATAAATCTCCAGGGATTACCCTACCCCTACTAGATTTCTGGAGCATGGGAGTCAGGAATATGTATATTTATTTTTGAAAATTAAAAAAAATTTTTTTTAAAGATAAGCTCACGATCCGTCTCCCAGGCTGGAGTGTAGTGGCCATATGTCGTGGATCATAGCTCACTGTAGCCTAGAGCTCCTGGGCTCAAATGATCCTACCCTTTCAGTCTCCTGAATAGCTGGGACTACAGGTATGTGCCACCATGCCTACCTAATTTTTAAAACTTTTTGTAGAGATGGAGTCTCACTATGTTGCCCAGGCAGGGCAACATACTTCTGGCCTTAAGCGATCCTCCTACCTTGGCCTCCTAAAGCACAGCTATGAGACACAGTGCCCTGCTGAAGAACATGTGTATTTAGAATCTCCCCCAGTTTATTCTGAGGCTACTGGTCTGGTTCAGTTCCTTGGACAGGCTTTCAGGAACCATTGCATTCTAACTGAAGTCCTCAAATGATCAGGTGATTATAACCCAGTAAAATTCTGGGTGCCTGGCAGTGCCACCAAAATCAGCCTTTAGGGGTTGAGTGCTATTGCCTTGCTTTAAGATCTTTGGTTTATTACCTGAAACAGACACTCAATCTGTCACTGAGCATTTGAACTTTGAGTATATAGGAAATGTCAAGTTGGCAGACTCTGCTGTAACAGAAAGAGTTATTTGTCATTTAGGGTTGTTGTTCTTCCTTCTTTCCCCTCGAGATTCCTGCCCACTCAGTCAGATTAGAGCTATATAAACAAGCTTGTACTACTGAGCTAGCACACATCTTGTAAATTTTTTTTTTTTCTGAAGTGCTTAATGTTGCTGATGTCAGAAAAAAAAATCCATTGCATTTTAATGGATGGGGGCAAACAATGTGAATCTGATATAGCATGGAGGAGAGGATAAAATATCAACAGAAATTCATGTTTGGCAGCATAAATATTCAGACTATATCACAGTCAGGGTGTGATTACCTCTCTTACATGACATTTCCCTGAATACTTTTTGAGGGCTGGGCACTAAGAGTGGCAGGCATGATGTTTCAGGCTTTTAGCTGCATGTGACGATGATTTTAGTGGCATTGTGGGGTAATTGCAGTCATCCTCCTTGTAGCTCTGCATCAGGATCACCTGAGGATGTGGTCAGACTGCTGAAGGCTCCATCTCAGATGCAGGAGTCAGAACATTGGAGGGTGAGGGTTGGGGTGGGCTTTGCCGTTGATCCTCGTGCCAATGGCCTGGAAATTACACTCTGCCAAACACTGGCCTAGAACAAGACCGCTGGTCAGTCCCTATGTTCAGTCTATGCTAGGGTGTTTGCATGACTTCTTTAAAAGCAACCCTGCATAGTAGAGGGTTCCCATCTTCTAGGTGAGGAGCTGGAGGTCTAGGGTGGGAGCATCAATTGCCAAAGGCCACGCAATGTCCTCGGTGCGGGCAGCGCTGCCATGTGATTCCTTTTCCATGTCATCAAGCCCCTTCCTTCCAGCTCTGCTCAGCATCATTGTCTGCTACACCCTAGGCTTTGCTTGTTCCAGAGGGGCTGGGCTATAAAGAAAACAGCAGGCATGTGCTATAACTGCCAGTTACAAATGCCAGGTAAGTTTGGAATAAATTGCAGGCACAGTCCTCACTTTCACAGGATTCACTAATCTGTGTGTTTCACAGGTGCTCAGTTGTTCTGTTAGTCACAGGGTCTCCCCTCACTGTATTTTCTACCTTCCCCGTGTAGTCCTTCTTACTAAACTGCTCGTGAATTCCTGAGTTTAGGGCTGGCCCATATCAATAAACTCTGGGGACAACCTTCACTTGTGATTCCACACATGGGTCTTTTTTGGTAAAGGGTCTTCATTTGGGGCCAGTTTTAATGGCTTGTTATCCAGATGAATGTTCCAGAAAGTGTCCACTGCATCTTGGTGGAATCTTATCAGTTCCATCATTCATTTGAAAATAAATGAGTACCTACTATGTGCCAGGCCCTGTTCTAGGTGCCACAGATGGAGGGTGAACCCAGCGACAAAGCCCCTGCCTATGCAGAACTGGCCTTCTAGTGGGCAAATCCCTGATACACAAGGAAATTCCCTGTTCGCTCACCCTCCACTCTTGGCTGTGTCCCCCTTCATCTCTTTGAGATCAGATCATCTTCCTGGTGTTTTTCTCCGGAGGGTCTAGCGTGGTGCTGAACCCCTCTTGGGGCTGCAGGAAAGTCTCCATGCCTGTGTGTGCTGTAGCCTGGGCGGAACAAACGGCAAAGTCCACCTACCACAGTGGCTCTTCGTCCTTCTACTCCCCTCTGAGTCGTCACCTCCTCCTGCTCTGTGCCGTCATAATGGAGCACTTACATATTACTACGTCCTCTTTGGGGACATGTCTGTTACCCCTACTGGACTCAGTACTTTAAGGAAAGCACCTGTGTCTAATTTCTCTGTGTATCCCCACCAAGCCTCGTGGAAGTAGATGCTCAGTACATTTGCTCAGAGAGTAAACGTTCAGTCTCGCAGAACCTAGTGGTGCGTGGTGGTGTTACAGGGATTGCTTTGTGGGGAGGGACTCTGAGTCCCACAGGGGATTCTCTGAGACGCTCAGCTGAGAGCACTGCCACGAATAGAAGAGAGGGCTAGGTAGGCAGCGATGGTGGAGAGGGGTGGCGTGGAAAATTCTGGTGAGAGCCTTTGAAGGAAAGTTAGACATTTGAAGTTCTGAGGTTCTAGATTAGAGCCGGAAGGAACTTTAAGGATGCTGGTTTTTATAGCTAATGCCCCACTGAGGTCTAGACTAGCCGTGGCTTGTCTTGCTTCTGACAGCTAGTTAGCTGCAGAGCAGGGGGCGACCCAGGCCTCCCAGTTCAGAGGGCTTTCCACTGTGCTGGGACAGTGGCTTGTGATGGATAAGGGGACAAAAAGCATAGAGAGGTGAAGTAACCTGCCCCAGACCACACAGCCAGTAAGTGGGGGAGCCCAGATTCAGATGTGGATCTGATGACAGAGGCCAGCTTGTAACCACTAAGCTATATTCTTGGAGGTTGTGGAATGAATGGTCTTAGCTTATTTTCAGTTTTCCTCTTTTGTTAGCCGTGAGTCGTTATAGGAAAATAATATTAATACACTTTCTTTCTATTGAAACGCAGCTATGTGTTTTTAGAAAAAAATACCGACATTCTTCAAACATTAAAGTAAAAGTCCCTGGATTATTTATTATGTGTATGTACACGTAGTATATGTTAATATAACTAAAATGAAGAAGACTCTCTTTTTCTCTACCACAAAATTTAAAACACCCCTATTCCTTTCCATTGTACTCCAGGTAAAAGAAGTATTTACACCATATTGTAATGAATGAAAATTTAGTCTAGGCATCCTCAAGCTACGGCCTGCGGGCCACATGCGGGTGTTTTTGCCCGTTTGTTTTTTTACTTCAAAATAAGATATGTGCAGTGTGCATAGGAATTTGTTCATAGTTTTTTTTTTAAAACTATAGTCTGGCCCTCCAACGGTCTGAGGGACAGTGAACTGGCCCCCTGTTTAAAAAGTTTGAGGACCCGTGATCTAGTTCTTTAATTTCATGAGGCCCAGCCTTCCAGTCAATGAATTTAATTTAAACCTACATATGTAGGTTTCACATCCAGTTCTCTCTGACATCTGTTGACATAGGGACTAGAAGATAGGTACGTTATTATTTTAGAAATGATTCTTTCTAGACACAGAGAAGTTAAATTGCTTGTCTGAGTTTCAAGAATGAGTTAGTAGAGGAACCCAAAATAGAAGCTGCTCTACCGAATAGTAGACTCACTAAAATTCCTAACATAAAGACTGTCCGCATTCACTTTAGCAGTTTGAAGTCCAGACCCTGGAACATCAGCCTGCTTTAACACCCAGAAATGCCTCTGTGGGTGGGAGGGGGAGGCCAGGGATAGGCACAGGGAGAGCTGACACGTTTGTTTCTAGGTCATGTCCAACCTTGCCATGATAACACAGTTTTCTAGGCGGAAGAGAATAATACGCTCATTAAAGTGAAAGTGCTCATTTTAAAATACAGCAGCAGAAACCCACAAGGGCTGTGTTACATAGATAGATGAGCACACATTAATGGGCTCAATTTTTGTTTTTCATGTCCTGTCATATTCTGTATTAAGGCAAAGGAGCAGGCAACTAAATAGTTGTTTAAAAATGAAACCATGTTGTTCATTTAACTTTAAAAGCCACTGATTAGAATAATAATCAGTGTTTCCATGTAGTACTATATTCACAGAAATGCTGATATTATAGTGGGTAGAGATAATAGAATGATGCTCTTTATCTCTTTTTTGTAATCTAATTCTAAAACATTCTTATTCATAAATGATGAAGAAAGCAGGCGATGTTATTCAATGGGATGTTTTGGGCAATTAAATTCTTAGCATAAATTACAAATTCCTGTTTCTCTTCTATCTTTCACTCAGATTTGTTTTTATGGAATGACCTTTGGTACCAACTTACTTTATCATAAAATGTTTCCTGACTTTTTATTATAAATTGAAATTACCTTTTCTGTGAAGTATGATATTTATAAAAGTTTCTTTGATGAAAAGCCTGCACATTTTGTACAAATAACCCAGGCAGGTTCTTAGATTAGTGATAACATTTGTATAGGACTTTTATGGCTTTATACTATACCTTCACACTCAGGTTATCTGACCCTTCCTGTGAGGAACCCGGTGAAATTCGCATTTTACTGATGAGAGTAAGGTAGAGGAGGGTGCCTTGGCATGATTCTGAACACAGGGCAGGCATCTGACAAAGGGAAATTAACCAAAAGGAACCCAACAGGTTATTTAACTTGCTCAAGGTCATGCAGCTAATATAGTGTCACACCGAGAATGGAACTTGCTTCTTTACTCAAAGATTCCATATGCCTGTTGTGTCACTGTTTTCAGGCTTTTTAAAAAGACCAAATTAAATATATTCATTTTTCTTAATGGAGGTAAAATTCACATAACATAAAATTAGCCGTCTTCAAGCGTATAATTCAGCGGCATTTAGCACATTCACAGTGTTCTACAACTGTCACCTCTATCTAGTTCCGTAAGATTTTCGTCGTCTCTGAAGGAGACCTAGTAGCCATTAAGCAGTCACCCCATTCCATCCTCATCCCAGCTGCTGGCAACTACTAATCTGTTTTCTGTCTCTATGGATTTACCTGTTCTGGGTCTTTAACATAAATGGACTCACACAATATGTGACATTTTGTGTCTGGCTTTTTTCACTTAACATAATATTTTCAAAGTTCGTGTGTGTTCTAGCAAGTATCAGTCCTTCATTTCTTCCTATGGCTAAATAATATCCCATTGTATGGATATACATGTTTTGCTTATCCATTCATCCACCAATGGGCATTTTGTGTTGTTTCTACCTTTTGGCTATTGTGAATAGTGCTGCTGTGAACATTTGCGTACAAGAATTTGTCTGAATATTTGCTCTCAGTTATTTTGAGTATGTACTTAGAAGTGGTACTTCTAAGTGTACTTAGGAGTATGTACTTAGAATTGCTAGATCATTTGGTAATTCAACTTTTTGAGGAACCATAATACTGTTTTCTGCAGTGACTGCACGATTTTACATTCCTACCAGTATTGTATGGGAGTCCTGCTTTCCCCATATTCTTGCCAGTACTTATTTGAGGGTATTTTTTTATTATAATCATCTTAATGGTATGAAGTGGTATCTCCTTGTGGTCTAGATTTGCATTTCCCTAATAAATTATTCATATTTTTAATGCATAGAATTAATCAGAAAATGAGCTTTGGCAAGACAAAATCAACATCAAAATGATTGGCTTCATCTGTCTTCAGGAGATTATTTAAGAGCAGCATATATTCACTCCTAGGGTACATGATTCTGGGCTGAAAATAAAGAACATGTTGCTTTGGAATTAGAAGAATGTATGTGGGTAGTAAGACCACAATTATCCCCTAACTTTTTTTTAATACCTCTCAAATAAATGAGGAAAGATAAGAAATTATATCATTTTTTTTTTTGTTTTCATGACATCTGCCAAAAGATACTTAGCTCTTTGCATTTCAAAGCTGTCTTTGTATAATTCCTTCATGACTTAATGGTCTATTCATTTTATTTTTGCAGCGTGAGTGAAGTCACCCAGGATGGCTCAGGGATCCGGGGATCAAAGAGCGGTGGGGATTGCAGACCCAGAGGAGAGTTCTCCCAACATGATAGTCTACTGCAAAGTAAGGCGTCTGGTTAAATGCTGTGCGTGCTGCCTGTGTGTAGCGTTGTGTTCTGTGTAGGGTTGACTGATGGGTTGGTGGCAAGACACATGTTTTCTGCCTAAATTTGCCTTGACTCATACATGAATATTTTCTTCTCATATCCTCTGATTTTTTCGATCTAAAATTCAAATAAGTTAATTTTTATTGTACTTGAACACTTGGTATTTAACACTTGAAAAATATTATACCATTTAGTTTTCTTTAAACCCAAAGGTTGCCTAAGCAATGCAGATGGAGACATATTTTCCTTCAGTATAAAGGCCTTAATATAAGATTTATTAACTTAAGTTCTTCAAACTCATAGTAGGTACAAGGTCTGGGCTGAATGCCGTGGGAGATACAGAAGTATGTTTGCATGAGATATGCTTACAGTTGGTAGGAGATATAAGATATACACAACTGAGTGTAATAGAGTCAGAACGTTAATTTCCAAAATAGTAGAGCATGTAGAGTGTTATATAATCTCAGAGGAGGGGGCAATTTCTCTCGGCCACAGAGCTCAGAATAGGCTTGTGAAGGAGTGGTCTTTGAATTCAGTTTTAAAGGGTGGTTGGGATTGCTTTATGTGGAAAGCAGAGAGGAAGAACATTCCAGGTGATGAGATGTGTTCAGCAGAGGCACAGAACTGAGGAAAGTAAATAGTAAATTACAAGGAGTAGATGAAGGTGAGATTTTGGGAAGAGAGGCTGGATGGAGCCAGATTTTAGTGTTGGCTTATAGGCAATTTAATTGTGAAAAACCTGTGTGCTGGGAATTGTAAGATCAGTATCTTTTTGGAATTATGTGTCTTGCCCTAGTGTGCCCAGGGGATTGTTACCAAGATAAAGTGGAGGCTCAAGGGGGCATATTTCTGTATCTGTGTAAAAGGTAAAAAGGACACTAATCTAGCCTGGGAAATGCCTTTCAGAAGTGAGAGGGACTGATAAAAGGTATTAAAGAGTCTGAATTAAAAATGACTTGGAAACTGACTGAATGTGGAATTAGGAGGAGAGTAGAGGGTCAAAGATGAGTAGGTTTTTGATGTTGGGCGAATGAAAGCCATTGATGCTATTAGTTCAAATAGGGACATTTGGAAGAAAAATTCATTTTAAAGGAGAAACTATGGCACATAAGTTTATTTGTGCACATGTTGAATTTGGGGAAATAATTACTTCTTATTATACACCTTCCTAATGTTTGCATGTTTGTGAAAATTAAGCCTAACTGTATTGCATGTTAATAAGGAAAAGAGTTAATGTTCATTCATTTCACTGTCTGAGTTGTCTGCTCAGTTCTGTGCATTCTGTAAGACTGTGTGCTATCTATGTTAATCATATGGGCAATGTTGGGCTAGATATTCTTGGATGATCAATATGGCAAATTTTTGTCTTTTCCTTGTAAAAATAGAGCTCTCAAATTGTTCTTGCTTTGAGTGTAAAATTCTGTAATCTTTGCTTTGCAAGAGAATTCTTAGATAACCCATCTCTAAGAAAGATGCTTATTAAATTGTAAAGAAAATATAGATGAATGAGGCTAAGCAATTAGTGGAGCATACAGAATAATAGAAAGATGTTTATTCATTGTTACCATATTAACCAACCCCAAACTGCAGGACCCTGTGCCAGGCTGGCAGGAACATAGGCTTTGGAGTTAGACCTGGGTTAAAATTCCAGCTTTAACACTTTCTAGCAGTATGACCTTAAGTTAATTATTTAAATTCCATGAGCCTCAAATTTTTTCATTTATAGAAAGAAGAAAACATGCAGGAGGATGGTTATTGTGAAGATCCATTTAGATAAAGTAAATGAGGCATCTTATATCCTACTTGTCCCATGATATGGTCTATAAAGAATATTTGTTTTTCTTCGATCCCTAGGTCTTATAGAGAAAGTGACACTTGGGGAGGAAATAAATTATAAAATATATAAATGTTGATGCTGTTAATAAGTTGACTAAAGTAAATTCATACAGGGAGTTGCTTTATTGAGACACAGGAAAACAATACAAATATTTTTTATATTATTCAAGGGATTGTAAATCCATGGATTATTAAAGGTGAATAGGAAATGTAAAGGTCATGCGATCTGAACAACTTTCTATTAGCATGTTTGGTATTATATTGAAAGGAAAAAACTTCCTACAGGTTTGTGAGAGCTTAATTTTTACTTTCTGGGTAGTAGTATGGGCTCTTTTCTGATTTTTAGAAACAAACTTGTCCATTGCTATAGTTCCTTAGAGAAATGACCACTAGTAATGACAATATTTCTTGCTTCCTTGTGACAAATTTGTGAAGACAGTATGTGTGTGTTCATGTTATTTACTCTATTAATGCTGTGCCTGCTGCCTGTGTGTAGCGTCGTGTTCTGTGTAGGGTTGACTGATGGGTTGGTGGCAAGACACATGTTTTCTGCCTAAATTGCCTTGACTCATAAATGAATATTTTCTTCTCATATCCTCTGATTCTTTCTATCTAAAATTCAAACAAGTTAAGTTTTATTGTACTTGAACACTTGGTATTTAACACTTGAAAAATATTATACCGTTTAGTTTTCTTTAAGCCCAAAGGTTGTCTAAGCAATGCAGATAGAGACATATTTAGGAGATGGAGACATATTTAGAGTTTTAATTGCTATAAAAGGGACATTGAATTTGTTCAATCTATTAGAAAGAAAGAAGTCACACTTATTGTACAATGTGGACCAAGGCCCTGGAATAATTTTAAAGCTAGTTAACTGGACTTATTTACACCATGGTTGTACTTGAACCATAGGATAGTCACATAAACTTCTAATGCCAGAGCTGCAGCCTACCCTTTGGCTAGGACCAAGAACTTACCCACTGTAGGACATTAGTCCTCAAGGTATCAGTAAAGGTTGACTCTTGAAACCTGAAACCAATGGCAATTCAAAGCATTTTCTATGAATATCCTTTTTGTGTAATCATTTATTCAAGATTGTAGCCATAAAAATCAAACCTTTTCTTAGATATCTACAACTAAAATTTACATTTTAAAAAAGGGTACTTTCATTTTTGTTTTCTTTCGTTTGTTGTTTCTGTCTCTTGTTGTCACACATTTCCAGTGTGAAATTTTTGCTTGGACTGTGTTGTGTTGATTCAGATGCTGACATTTAAAAAGCCAATTCTAGTGAAATGAAGCTTCTGGTGAACTCTCGAGTAATAAGTGGGATGATTATGCCCACAATGTTGTTGTGACTTCTAAATGCCATTTAGAATGGTGACCTTCTGACATATGAGTAATGAGGGGTGGATTTCTTAAGCCCCCACACTTTTCAGAATACTCTTCATTTTCTTTTCATGTTTCCATGTCATTAACTATGAGAAGTAGCACTTTTCCAAGGCATGACTTATTTATCGACTCGAACAGAGTTTCTATCTTAGTTTTTCATCCTTCATATTCACATTTTGGATTGGAGGTATATATGAAAAATGTATTGGTTATATTAAAGATCTATTTAAAAGAAAACCTTAATTATTTGTTAAGACACCCAGACCTGTTAATCTTTTTAATATTCCTAGATCCTAAGGATCCTCGGTTATCAAATTGCCCAATGGAGTGATGACATTTGAATCATATCATTTACGGATGCTTTATAAAAGTGCCAATCCTCAAAGAACCCCCTCCACAAGGTATTTTCATTTTATAGGTCTCAGCTCGGTCCTAGGAATCTGAGTTCCAAGATGTTCTCAGGAGAATTTGATGCCCAACTAAGTTTGAAAAGCACTTATTTAGCGTCTTTTACAATATCCAGGTATAGTGTGTGTTTGCAAAGTCATGGGAAATTTGGTGTTTTGAATTAGAGTTTTGATTTCATAATTTATAGATCTCTCAAGATGTGGAAGTACCAAGCTCTTATCATAGTGTTAGAATTAAGGAGCTTTAATAGCTTTATCTTAGAGATTTTCTTGTCTTATTTTATAGATGAAAAAAAAAAATGAAAAGTCTGGAGAGGATGATTAGCTTGCTTAAGGTTACTCAGCAATTTCCAGTGAAGCTGTGATTGTATCCAGGAAGCCTGGCTGCCCCGGTCAGCATCCTTTCTATACACCATGGTTCTACCTTGTCATCAACCACAAACTGCTATTACCACATTGTTGGAGCGCAATAGCCATAGGCCACATTAAATTGATGAAAATAATATGTGGCGGAACTTTGGCTTTCATGCTCATTCTGGGAGAGTGAGCATGGGTTAATGTCTCACATTTGTACTGCTAAAGTTTCCTTCTGGTTTCTGGGACCTTTGTTTCTTGGTTTCTGAACTGTTCCCCCTCTTTTATGACTAGGAATTCTTTTGAGTAATATTAGTAATATTGGTTTCTGAGTTTGTTTGGTTTTTCTGAGTGGTGTTAACAATGGTTGATATATTTGACATATTTCCCCCAACTAGACTGGTAATTTGATTTGGTAGAACTTTGGGCTCTTAAATGGTGGGTGGACAGAGAAAATTGTAGCTTTGCTTGACCCAGGCTTGCATCAAGAGGCAGTACAGTGGGGTAGAACATGCCAAACAGAGGTCTGGGGGCTCTGGGTGTCTGGTCCCAGCTTTGGTTCTCTTCCTCTTCCTAACTCTGTTTCTTATTCTTTTTCCCTCTCTCTTTCTTTCTTTCTCCCCTTTCTCCCCAATTATGAAATATTTCTAACACACAAAGAATATATTCTGTGTTCATATACAGTAGAAAGAAGAATTTAAAAATGAACTCTGTGTAGCCAGCATTAGCTTAATAAATAAAATATTACTTTGACTTCATTTCCTCTTCTGCCAAGTGAAGGAGTAGATCTAAATAATGTGCAGATACTTTTCTGCAATGATTTCAAAGTTCCATTCTATAACTTTTTGATCTTTTAGAAGTTAATATACTTCCTTGATATTAAAACAATGTTGTGAGACTTTGTGCATATTTAAAGGTCTTTTGAACTTTTCTGGAAATATTCCGGACAGTTGTAGATAATCTAAATTGGA